GGCGTCAATGAGACCGGTTGTATCCTTGAGGCTATGCTGGGTTTATGTCATCCTCACTGGTTCCAGAAGACGAGCCAACCATTTGGCTACTCTTGAATACTTCAATTACTTTCCCTCTCTTTTTCCTTGTAAATCCTTCTTTGATACTAGTCATATTTATTGTGTTGTAATGGCATGATTAAGACACACTGAAAACGAGCTTGTTTGCCAATTTGTGTTCTCATTATGAGCTCCGTGGGACCTCTTAAACACTCAATTATTATTATCTCGACATAAAACTTAATTATTAACTGGAAAGTTATGATCATTTTACTTCATTTGTCTCATCTCACTATCTTTCCTAATGAAAACTGCAAAACAATGAAATGAAGATGCAAATCGATGCGTGTATTCCCCTCAAACTTTGCGATTATTCATGATTAAGCCGAATAAAACTGATCACATAGAGGCCCTGAAAACTCTAAAAGGGACTCCATGTTTCGAACCCTGCAATAACTACTCACCTCTCTTACAGTGGGTAATCGAACGCGTTGTGGATGTACTGGTACCTGTTGCGATCCAAATTGACGCGGATCGTAAGCGATCGCGACTAATTCCAACATTATTGTGTCGCTATATCCTTGTCCCGGAGTTTCATCGGACCTCGTGTCAGTGGGTAGGGAGGTGCCCAGAGCATCTCGAATGCGAATAGGGCAGTAAGCCTGAACCGAGAAAAGAAGGAAAGAAACCGGAGAAATCTTAAAGCAACGTGTTTCTCTGACCTCATTTGTAATTTGGTTAATCAGAAAAAAAATAATTGCCGTGCTATTCTCTGTATTTGCAGCTGTGGTACACCTATAGTAATAATAATATTAACAATAAAGCTACCAAAGTAATTTTTCCTATAGTACTTTACACGATTGAGCCTTCTATATACGCTACAGTGTCGTAAAATAAGCCTTTAGGGTAAGAAAAAGCTGCCGGTACAGACTGTATCTGCGGCAAGAGAAATCGTTAACTGATGGATATGCATAAGGAAAAAGATGTTTGATAAAAACTGAAATAAAGGCATAGAAAATTAGATCGCCAAATGATAAATATGTTAAGGCCGTGACTGAAGATGAGTTATATTGAAGCAACTGAAAAACAGAGGAAGGGAATCAGAAGATCCCCACGTAGCGGTTGTCCGCAGCATCGAAGACACTCTACTGTGATCAGCTCCATCAAAGTCCACGTGTATCCCTCCATTCAACACCCCTGATCGAACTGCATTGCTGCTCGTTTGTCTTAAGACAGAATAGTGATTTCTAGACACGAAATGTCCTTTAAATGGAGCAGAATGATTTCCCAAATGCAAAACAAACAACACATAGGATGTGCATTTGTTGAATTCCTTATCATCAATACAAACGTCGCAGTTTAATAAAGTCAGTATGTATTGCATGATCCAAGATGAATTATCGTCTTAGACGCCAAACCTACTGTACTATTATCGTAGATGTGAGAAAACCAATCGGTCAATTCTAACAGGTCAGTACAAATCAGGAATGCGTGCACTGTTGTGATCCAAAAATAAGTGAACTGAACGGCACACAACACTGCAATGCTCTAAATACAAGCAATATAAGCTAAGTACTGTGTGTATGATCGTAGACAATGTGTACATATTCGCCTTACCTCGATTCTGTAATGCTGCTGCCAAGGTTTAATGTACCGATTTCATCATCATGTGGATTCAGTTGAACATAGTGTTCTGTATGAAGTATACCGTGAGACGACTAAAGGGAAGTAAAAATCTGGAGCGCAAATGTCTGCCCCAATGGAGACGGCCTCAGTTTATAAATTCATTCGTCCGTTTCTATTGATCGTCTAATCAGGTGACGAAGCGGCCAACGGCAGGCATTGATCAATACTATTCCAGGCTGTTTCGTCCGTAAAACATCTCGATCTAGTTTTAGGCCATCGGTAATAGATCGATGTGTTCTCACCCAAAATCCATTGAATCGATAACACGGTTCTAACTAGTACATTGTCCTAAGTATTTTGTCTTCCTGTGTTCGGTTACGAGCCAATAGTAATAATATAAATTCACGTTACCATCGAAATTAGGTTTCATCCGCAATATATGGTGGTCTGAAATCAATCAATTTACGAACTCATTCTGAACTAAAAACACTTCAAATGAATGATTTATGTCAGATTACGTTGTGATACAGTTTTCTCAACGTTTCATATGAGATAGCACCATATACGTTTTATGTTCAGCTGAGGATTAAGTACACCCTATAATTGTTGTGAGACCACATCATAGTGTTCCTACTAAGAAAATCGTGGTTTAGTGAGATCTACAAATATGAAGAGTTGCTTCATTTTAAAGACTATCAATAAATAATGAAGATTTTCTCTTTAATTTTAAGTTGAGTAATTTCATCTAGATTTCAGTGGTACTGATTAACCTGTTGAATTGGTTGTAACTTACACAAACGAAATTTTTAAGTCTGAAAGTTGACTTATGCTTCCCAATCCATCTTTAGTGACGCCCACATTTACTGGAACTCTGATATATCAGAATGTTGTGTAGTTCAGCTCCCCCAGTTCCAAGATGATTGATTTTAGAAAGTAATGGGGATTACTATTCTCACTGCTCTTCACTTAAAGCGTCATAATAAGCTTACCATATACGATTTTGCTTCTAACGGCCGAAAACGCCATTCCAGTTGACTGAAACCATTAGCCGCAACCACTCCGACACGATTTGAGCAACACAGTACGGGCATATCATACTCACACCCACCGAGAGCGGTCGGTTGATCAGCGTCGTTTTTGAGCATCCTATTCGGGTGTACTGAATCCGGAGGCCAACGCAATGGGCTTACTTGGTACTGCACGGCCCGTGCACTTGGATTACGTAATTGCATGCGAAACAGGTAACCCATGCGACAATCACCGGTGGATAAAGGAACAGCGGGGAAAATATATCTTCGTTGGGCGAAGTGTAAATAAGGCTGGTACAGAGGTAATGTGATTCCAAGTAGATTCAACTGTAAACGGAAAAGCGGAAATGTGTCCATATTCAGAGGGACGCCAGGCACATTATCATTCAGCGAAAGAGGTGCAGTCTGAGAGCTACAAACTCAATACATGCTGGTTACAATACGATGACTGATGACGATTCGCACCCAAGCTAAAACACAAAATGTCCACCACCGGGTTGAGTGAAGCGGTGCGGGGAACTTAAATCGATGAAATTGATGTATAGTTGTTTTATTTTAATCGGGGTCCCAGGAGATGTTCGCATCTATCAGCTAACCAAAAAAATCGTGGAGGAGAAAGGGGACATTTCACACACTGGTAAAAATTATTCTATCTCCTGGACTATGAGCGGCTTGATGAGCTACGAAAAAATATCCT